CGAATTGAGTCCCGTTGAGAGTCAGGAATAATCTAGAAGATATCGAAACTGCAGTCCATCGCAGATAAAATACCTTTTTAGAAGCAAGACTATGTGAAATTCCACTAAAAATATGAGACGTACTAATATCATTGTAGGAAAATTCAACTGTCAGTCCTTTATCAGCTTAAACAAAATAATGTGGATAAAGCTCCTATATGATGTGTCTCGAAACCCCAGTTATAAAAGAAGACGAGCAATAATCGAGTCTAATTAGGGTAAAAATCATAAATTAAGAAGCCATATTTTATATTGCAAATATTAAGATCAGGATGGTGTGGCCTTCTGTTTGGTCGCCGTCTCCTTTAGCTTGATAGCGTTGATTCGAACTTGTTTTCGCAACTTGATCGGAGTGTCAGGGAGACCTTGTGGAATGTACCTAGTCCCATGTCCTCTGTCGTATTTTTAACTCAAAATAAATCTAGAAAACAGGATAAGTTATGTGAATTCCCAAAAATTTCTCGTTCAAAAACTTGCTTGACATTGCAAATTCAATTTAAATACTTAATATAAGAAAAATATCCGTTACAAATAAGGTTAAACATCTTCACATGGCTCTCTCAGCCAGCGAACATGTAGCATCACATACTTGAGCACGGATCCATAAGTTGCAGATCATCCTTTATAGTATTATTTGTGGTCTGTATCAGAGTGCTAAATCGAAAATGGTCCAAAAACTTGGTTCGATCGCCAGAATTTGCACATTCATCAGCTCTGCCAACATCATCCACTCCTGATACATTTGACTTTGAATGATGGCTAGATGTTAAAGCTCGCACCAGATAGTTGGAGAGTTGTGTTCCATGTCGATTAGGACTCACTAAGGTACGGAAGTGAGGAGGGCAACTAGCTAATGATGAAGCCTCTCTCTCATTGTTATTTTGTGAGTCGGAGAGGGAGTTAGAGAAGCTAAAATCAAACCCAAGTTTGAAATCCAGATCCACACCAATGCCGAGACCAAGGTCAGATCGTCGTGAAATTCTTTGACTGCTGAAAAGCCGAGAAATGGGACCAGCTGACGATGACCTTTCATCAAATCCCAATCCCGAGCTATCAGCGTCCAGGGAAGTGTGGCCTGGCGAGTGCTTATCAGAAGGCGCCTGGAAGGTACCATTCCCAGTGTTTGGACTGGCTTTTGGGGGCCTCGGAGCTGGGCCCTTCTTCCGTGGTAGCGTGATTAGACCAGAACTGAAAGCTGGTGAAGCATGGTTCGAAGTGGATGAGTCACATAGCGAAAGCGGAGAAACTTGCTTTCCAAGCGAATTTTCTGTTTTATTTGCCATCTGTTGTTGAAGAAGCTGCAGATGATGTGAAAATTGATTTTGGTTATGATGGTGCTGTTGAATCGCATGATCCGATGCTTTGTTTCGAGTCGTGCGTATACCAAGTCCCTCAGCAAATTTTCGCCGCGACTCACGCCAGTCTATGGCAACTGAGTTACCTTTGGCTAAAAGCCGGCGTCTCATAGTGTTGTCACTCACTCCTGTCGCATGAATTTGATTACTCGAAGCTTCACTTCGTTTGTAGGATGTCATGCTACTGGCAGGCATAACAGTTTCGTTCTGTCTGGTGATGCCAGCTGTGCCAAGGTTGATGACACTGCTAGTTGCTGGAACGTAATTATGCACTTGTGGCACTATAGATTTCTGTCCTCTGATTGAGTTTATCCCAAATGGAGTTCCGGGGGCAGTATTTAGACCCCAATCCACTCCATCCAATCGATCCACGGCTTCAAATAAGGCCTGTCTAAACTGTTGACTGATGCCAGGATTTAAGCTTAAGCCCGATCCTGATGAGACACCAGATGTAGAAGAGACCGCGCTTCCATGTGTGAATGTTGAAAGTAAGAGATCCGCACGAAGAGGCAATGAAGTGACACCAAGAAAGAAATTTGGAGAAGATGTTGCCACCGAAGTAGAGAGACCACGTGAAGAATGAGAGGGATTTACTAAGGAAGTTGAAGTAGCCATAAGACATTCTGCCAAGCGTAGAAGCCCGACACAAGCACGATAGTCATCTGCATCTCCATTTATCTCCCCTTCCTCCCCTTGCACTGACAACATAGTCCCTACATCTCTATCCATTTCATCCAATAATTCAGCCTCAAAATCTTTGTTTGCAGCGGACCCCGAGAAAAATCCATCATTTACACCAGGAGACGATTCGTCAAAAGGATTCACACCTTTGTAGGTCAAAGTCAGTGTATTTTTATCACTAGCAAATGATTCTCGGTTACTGGGAGGCACGTGGACTCCTCGAGAACTCTGGGAAATAGGTGAACTGTCCTTCATATGATGCACTCGGCGCTGTTTGGCATCTGAGATTGAAGGTGAAGTAAGGCGTGACAACATCATTTCAGCAAGCTGTAAGGCAGTCTGTCGATTGTGATTTGTGAATGACAGCATCTAAACAAAGTAAATAATAATAATAGAGTACTGTATTAGTTTCATATAGGCCCTACTATAATCCAGAGTGAGGAGAGTGCGTAATTCTAACGGAGATTAATCCACAACAAGAAAAGGAATGTTCTCTGATAGCAAAAATAATGAAAAACATGAAAATAAAAAACCCCAAATTAAAATTGGGTGAGAAAGTTAGCTAAGGATGGAGGTAATTAAGCCATACTGGTGTAGGCAGACCACCAGCTTGCAATATCAACTTGAGGGCTTCTACACAACCGTGGCGTGCAGCGTGATGAAGGACTGTGTCGCCGCGGAGATTAGTCTGCTGAATCTGGTTAAGTGGTGTATTTTGTAAAATGAACTCGACAATCGTGAGATGCGATTGACTCAGTAAACGTCGCCTCCGAGTGATAGTTATTGCAAGGCCTGTCTCGCCTTCATTAGAAACTACAATTAAAGAGAAGAGACAATTTCAATATAAAATCCAGTGTGGCCTAGTAGGACAGAAATACAATAATGTAACAACAGAAGAATATAAGTAAAAGTAAACGAAATCATGAGAAAGTAAATTATCAGTTATTGTATCACTCAAGACAATCTAGTGACAAAGTTATTAACAAAAAATTACCGAATGCTTTAAAATATAATTTTATCAAGAAAGGAAACAATATAATTACAAATAAGATAATATACAAATACTATGAGAGGTATTCACCCAATTTTGATTAAGGTGATGAAGGACTAGTAGAAGAATTTTACCACGAGAATAAGTAGAGCTGATGTTCCCATTGAATGTCAGATAGCCTTGCTTTCCCAAAAGTTGTTCTCATCCAGATTAGACTGCAGTTTCGACCTCGCATCCATCCTATCAACACCCCCAGCGGGAGTCGAACCGTGACAGTATAGAATGGGAACTTGACACGTTAACCACTCAACCACATTGCCAAGAGTGCCATTATGCACTATCAGGGTTCGACTCCCGCTGAGGGTGTTGATAAGACCGATTCGAGTCGAAACTGCCGTCCACCCTGGATGAGAACAACTTTTGGGAAATTCATTGGAAACTTCAGCTCTGGTCATATCATTGTGGCAAAATTCTTCTACCAGTCCTTTAACGAAATTGAGTGAATACATCCCATATTACTGATTTACTGGTAGTCTCGAAACAATACTTAAATGCGAAAAATAAATATACAAATAGACAGGAAAATATTCGGTGGACCTGAAATAAGCAAAACAAAAGAATGAGTTACCTTTTTCATCCGTCGAATCGTCATCAATTAAGTCGCCTAAGCTGCTGCTTTTCATGACAGGTTGTCCACGCTCTTGACAAATATTGGAGTCTTGGCGAAGCCAATTTTCACTTAACGGAGTAATCCTACTGTTAACCCGAGCGTCAGTAGCGTGAATAGCTGAAGGTAAATTATTGGCTGGATATACGTTAAATAAGGAGTTGATCGGTTGAAGAGTGCACTCAACTGCGATATGTAACGCGGTGTTACCAAGCCTATGAATCTCGACAGGAAATGGTTTCATCAAATCACATCTTTCGGCATAAACCTGAAGTAAATAGAGAGAGAGTGGTATGGAAAAAATAAGTTATCTGAATATTATTATGGTGCATAAATTGTCAATTGGATATTGGATTTAAATGAGGCTAAAAGTTTTTAAATAGGCTTTCGAGACTACTAGTATATCTTTAATAATAACTGGCTCAACCTATTCTACAATGAGCATGTTTCATGTTCCCATTAAATTTCACGTC